GGACCAGTTAGCAAGGTTCTCCTTTTCTCCACCTTCCTCAGGGACCAGGTCAAAGGGGAGTGACTTTGTGCATCCCAAACAAGCCTGCAACCTTTTGCCATAGGCCTAGAAACTTCTGATGCAGAAGGCATCAGAAATCACAGGACAAAGTTCAGGCCCTGACCCAGTTTCTGACCTTGTGTCTCTGACCTCGTGTGTCCTGCTGCTCTGAGCCTCATAGAAATGGGGCTGGGAAGGTGGCTCAGTGGTAGAGTGCTTGCCTTGCATATGCATGAGGCCCTGAGTTCGATTCCTCAGCACCACACAAACAGAAAAGGCCAGAAGTGGCGCTGTGACTGAAGTGGTAGAACACTAGCCTTGAGCTGAAGAGCTGAGAGACAGTGCCTAGGCCTAGAGTTCAGGGCCCATGACCGGCAAAAAGAAAAAAAGAAAAAAGAAATGCCTCTTCTGTCTTCACTCACCCCTCCCCTTCCTCCCTCCCTCCATCCATCAAGTCTTCCTCTACCCATCATTTCACTCACTACACCGAATCACATAGTCCCAGCCACTGATTAAGTTAAAGTGCAGCCTTTACAGATAAGGTGACACAAAGCCCACTGGGGCACTCAGTGGCTGTCCATGGGTGTCCAGGGGTGCAGAGGGGAAGGTGTGTGGAGGTGCTGGGTGTGCAGTGGGGCACCTGGGTCTGGGCTCTCTCCACTGGGCTGCCCCAAAGACTTCTATGAAGCCATCTCCTTATGGAGGGGATAGAGGGCCTCAGGAGACTTCCCTGGCCCACTTCACGGGGCCGTTTCCAGGCTGGAAGAGCACAGGAAAATCCCCACGTGCACTTTCTGTCCGGATGGTCTTTCTTGGCTCAGGATTGAAAGGATAGAGTCTGATCTCAGCTGTGTGGGGTCTTGTCCACTGGTGTGTGTGTGTGTGTGTGGTCACCCTGCCTCTCTCCTGCTTTGGCGCTTTGGCTTTGTGGGACCCAGGTATCTACAGGGGTCTAGAGACAATGATCCTCTGCTCCATTCACCCTAGCTTCCAGATTGCCACACCACTCACCAGGAGTGGAGCCCAAAGTGGCATTGGCTCCCATGCTGCCCCTGACCCAATTCCCCCAATGGCCTTGGCATGGCTAAAGCCCCTCCCTAGGCCCCAGCGACTTCATTGGCTGTGAATCTGAACAGCCTCATGGCTGGCCACAGCTGATCCACACCACAGGGCAGGGTTCCTGCTCAGCCTCTGGGGTCATAGGCCTTTGGGAATCCTGTCGCCTGGCGGAAGGGACAGTAGAACAAAGCCAGATCAGGCGCAGGACACTCCGTGCTGCACTTGGCACATGTAGGGCACCGAAGAGTCTGGGAATATTAATAATAATTCCAATCTTCTGCCTCCTGGACCCACTGTGTCCCCGCCCCACGGCCTTTCTAAGGATTGAAGCGGGCAGCTGGCGGTGGGAGGTGGTTGCTTTAAATACAAGATGAGAGGAGAACAAAAGGGAAATAGAACGGAGTGGGGCTGCTGCTGGCGAACCCCCTCCCCCCCCAAGCCGGGGGAGGGTCTAGGGGACCCAAGCCCTGCTGCTTCCTGCTTTTGAGGGACTGCTGAGCCTCTTCTGAAGCAGCTCAGACCCCCTGCTGGGGTGGGGACACTGGTTTGGGCTAGGGCCCCCTCACCCAAGGCAACCGCCCCCCTCCCCGCCACCTACGTGCTTAGTCCTCAGAGAAAAAGGAAGTAGGTTAAGCAGATCCTGGAGTTTCTCCGTGCCTTCCAAGGCCACATTAAATATTCACCAGAAGGTTCTCCACAGGCCCCACAGAGAGCTTCAAAGGCTGCTCCTCTCCCCCCCAAGCTGCCCCCCCCTCCTTGCTTGGCACAGATCCTGGTCCCCAATCCTGGCCATTCACCTTCAACTCAAACCACTGCCTTCTAGAAGCTTCCCCCCCCCTCAGGTGGGTGGAGCTTGTGGCTCTGTGGCCCCAGTGTGTAGGGGGTCCCGGGTTTTATTCTCTGAACTGGGTGTCACTCCCTCCAGACACAGCCGAGGGTGGGGGCAGGGACCCCGCCTCCAGCTGTGTGTAATCCCAGATCTTGTCCCGGGCCAGCCAAGTTCCTCACACACAGGAGGCAGTCGGGGAGCTGGCCCACAGGAGGGACGAGGAGGCCAGCAGACTAAGGTTCACGTCCTGGCTGGACCTTGGGCTCTGTCCCCCAAGCTGCAATCTCCACGTGCCTGGGGACAGGGCCGCCTTTGGATGTTGCAGCAGGAAAAGCTGCTTTTACTGAAAAGCCCCTGAGTCCTTATTTGAGCCATGAATGAACTACAAGCAGGAGACAAGCTTGGTATCCGTGCCTCCATTTCATACCTGCCTCCACTCTGAAACTCCCTCCTGTGAATCACCTTGGGTTCCAGGAAGGACAGTACAGGAAGGCTCTCCAGGAAGGAGCAGCCGAGCCCCCAGAAGGACAGACATCTACCACCACCCCTCCTCAGGGGACACACTCCCTGCCAGCCCCTTCCTTTCCCTCTCCCCGCTAGCCACCTCCGCAGACCTCTGCAGAGCATGCACACCCATTTCCAGGGCTGGTTAATAATTATGCGCACCTGTCCCCCCTCCCCAAGGCCACTATGTAAAGCTAAAGCAAATGTGTGTCTGAGAAATTGGATCGAAAGGCCATCTCTCCTCTTCCTTTCTCTGACCTTCGCCATTAGGGGGTCTCTTTGACACACTAGAATCTGCGTCTTGGGCCTAACACTCCTATGTCGTGGTGATCACGGAGAAGACCCGGCGTCAGCCACACCGTGGCTTCCTAGAGGGCACGTTCTTAATTCCATCACCCCACCAAGTGGGGAGGGGAAGGTGGGAACCCCTTTACACAGCCGTTACCCCACCCCTGCTCCTCCCTCCCCCAGGAAAACGCCAAGACCTGGCTCCATGCCACCTCCCCATGTGACTTCCCCAGTCCCCGGGACCCCAGGTCCCCTGGGCCCACCTTCTCTCTCCTGAGCCATCATCCCTCCTTCTCGTTGGTGCAGCAGCAGCCCTGGGGTTGGCCCAGAGGCATAGGCTGAGGGAGACAGAGCCGCTGGGGCCAGGAAAAAGCTCCCCTGGGAAACACACCTGCTCCACCCCAATGGCCACCCCACCTGGGAGCAGAAGTGACAGAGGTGACTGAGCACCTCTCTCTAATCCTGGGAAGCTGGCCGCTGGCACCCTATCCCCAGGGACAGTGCAAGGGACACAGGAATGGCACAGCCCACACAGGGCAAGCAAAGACTGCAGCAACCCGAGAGGCAGGCATCCGGGGGGAGCCCCCACTCCACTGTCCCTGCTGCGGGCGGAGCGGGCTGCACTCGCGGGCACCCACAGGCGGTGGAGTAGAGGAGGAACAGATGCCAGGCAGGCGGCTAATCCTCGCGGCTATTCCAGACTACGGCACCCCCTTGTCACCTCCCACCTGCCCCTGCCCCACCCCTTCCCGTCCCATCTGCACGACTCCCGTCTCCCTGGCAGCAGCCAACGTGGCACAAGGTTTCGGTAAGGAGTTGTCTCCCAAGTCCGGCAGACTGGGACCCCCACTGAGGCTAGATTGTCAAGCCCCCTGCTCAGATGGCTGGCCTGGGGTGGTCACAGTGACAATGCGTCTGCTTCTGGCCAGCACAGGGCAGCAAGCCTCCATGCGCACATATATGTGCACACACGTGAGCACACACTCCCGTCCAGCATGGCTGCTGACCGATCTAGCATGGAGACAGCCTCCCAGGACTTGTGGGCAATCGAGCCTTGGCCTGCCTTGCCCTAGCTCAGTGGGCAAGGGGACAGCAGCCTGCCAGCACGGCGCATGGCCAGTGTTCCCTGGCCTGAGTCCTGCACTCCAGCACCAGGTCCTGAGCTGCAGGAGCTTCATGTCCCTGACTGTGCCACGTCCATTCATTCCTACTGTTCAGGGGCTGGTAGCAGCCTCACACCTGACAAGACCCACTCTCCCTTCTCCCTTCTTGTGCAGGCGTCCGCCGCCTGCCCCCCCTCCCCCCGCCGGCCACTCCTCTCTCCTCCTAGAACATCCACTTTTCACATCTGGACATCTGCAGCGTTTCTCCTGTTCTGCCTCCAGCTCCTGGGGCCTGGCCTCCACCAAACCACACCATGCGGGAACCGCAGGAGCGCAGTCAGGCCCGGCCCTGGCTGTGAGGGACGAGGGGGGGGGCGAGGGGGGGAAGGTGGGGATGTGGGTGCAGAGCTCCCAGGACCAGCCCAAGCCCGAAGATATCCTTTTGCCTTTCCTCCCCTAAAAGTGAAGAGGCCGAAGACCAAGGTCAGTTTGGTTATTTTAATTGTAAAAACCAAGACATGTATATAAATAAGACCACTGTGTAAAATAGGATTCACCCTTCTACTAAAACCCTTCTCCCTATACTCAAAAAGAATATAGAAAAGCCAGCAGAGATAGAAGTACAAATCAGCATGCGGTCCCTGATAGGCCCCTGCAGGCCCGGCTCCTGCTGAAGGGGCTGCGTCTCACCGGGGCTCAGTGACGCCTCAGGGCCCTCTCCTGGAGGGCAGAGAGGTTGGCACCCCAGCCTGGCACCCCAGCTCGGCTCTCATGGCACGGCTGGGCTGGGCGGGGAGGACAGGAAGGCTGCCTGGTCCTCATGCCCAAGCCAGGGCTGGCGAGCCAGTGGTTTGATGAGAAGCCATGGTTGTTCAGCCTGGGGTCACACTGGGGGCAGGCCTGGGGGGGTGCCACTTCCCCAGGGGACAAGGAGAGAAGCTGCGAGTTTCTTGGAAGGAGAGACTCCTTCAGGGGGCCACTTCCATGTGGCCACTAAAGACAAGGACAGTGGACACTTCCCAGCAGGGCTGGGGACTGAAGGGCAGGGAGCTCCCGGCCCAGAGAAAGGTGGGACCACCATGTCCTAGTGAGAGAAATCCTTCACCCTGACCTATCTCCCCACCCCGCCCCGACAGAGAGACGCATGCCTCGGCCTGTCCACAGCCCGACTGCTTGGCCTGTCCACAGCCCGACTGGGCTGAGGAGGAGAGATGTGGACAAACACACACACGGCGTGGCTCAGGAAACTGGTACTACACAGGACAAAAGAAAAGAGCCCATGCGCTCCTGGAAAGAGCCAAGACTTGCTGGGGCTGTGCTCCATCTCAGAAGAGAGGCAGGCGAAGGCCCTGTGGGGGACGGTGTCAGGAACACTTCCACACACACACGGCCAGAGTGCCCCCAAAGTACAGGTAGAGGAGGTTCTTCACCTCATGGGTGATCTCGAACCCGAAACCTTCGCCGATCACCACATGCCAGGAGGAGCCAAACTTCTTGTCCATGGTCTCTTTGATCATCTTGGCAGCACTCTGGAAGGGAGAGGGTGCAGGGTCAGGCGTGGCCTGGAAATGGCCTGCTGTCCTGCTCGCGGACGCTTCTGAGTGGGGTTCCAGGCAGGCACTGGCCAGGGCTAGCACGCAGGGACAGGAACTGACACCACCTCATCAGTCAAAGAGAGAAAGCGAGCCACAGCGCTGGCTGGCCACCACCATCGCTCCACTGTGAACCGGAGGCCAAGGACCAAAGGAGACAACAGGTGTGCGCACCGGCCGGGGGCGGGCGCCTGCGAGGGCGCCTGGGAAAGGCACAAAGGCCCAAGGGTCCAGGAGCCTTCCCGGGGTGAGGAGGAGATGTAGGGAGGAGCGAGGCACGAAGCTGAGCAGCGAGGTGGCCCACCCAGCACCCGGTGCGCCTGCCACCCTGCCGGTGCCCCATGAAAGCTGTGTCCTCATCATTTCTGCAAATAAACGCTGGGCCTCTGGCTCTGAGCTGAGAATGGACCTTGTGAACCCAGAGTCAGCAAGGGCTGGAGCCTGTGTCTGAACGTGAGCCTGGGAGACCCAGAGCTGGGGCTCTATACCCGCCTGATGAGGGGCACACACAGCACATCCCCAGCACCTAGGGTGCCCAGGCTGGAGACAGGCTTTCCACTTGGGGATGGATGGATGAATGCCTGGCAGCCTTGGGATGGGGGGAGGGAAGAAGGGGGAGGGGGGAAAGGGAGGCTGGGGGGGGGGGAGAGACCCTTGTGAGCAGTCCACCTGACAGGACCGGGGCAGGGCAGCACGGAGCCCCTTCGCCTCCCCTCCCTCCAGGACTGAGTGTGGCCCGCGGTGCCCGGATCGGCACCGGCCTCTTCCCTCACTGGCTCCGAGGCCATGCTGTCACACGCAGGGCCAGCAAGGGCACGAGGCCCGCCCGTGCTGATGGCAATACCTCGTTGTTGTTGGAGAATTTTTCACAGGCTGTGACACATAGCTCCATGGTTTCCACTCGCATCTCCTCTGGCATGTCCGAGTGCTAGAGACAGGGCAGAGTGACAAACAGAGACAGGCTTAGCCCACGACTGGCCTTCCTGGCCAGCCGCTTAAAGCATGGGCACCAGGTGCCTTCCCTGGCGCAGCCCTGGGCAGGGCTGAGGGTTGGGAAAAGGGGGTGTGGAGTGGAGCTGAACCCCTCAGCAAGCCAGGGACAGGGTGGAATGGAAGAATGCCCGGTTTACAGCAGGAGCAGCCGAGACCCAGAGGCGCTGCGCGGCTTGCCTGGCCGGGCCTCCCCCCGCAGCCCTGGCTCCCTCCCGGCCCTCACCCCGTCAGTGTGCAGGTCCCCTGGCTCCACTGTCTCCTTCTGCCACTGTGTCCCCAGAGCTGTATCATCCACAGGCTACACTTCCTACATCATCACCCCCAGCTCCACCTTCTTCCCAAGACTCCAGACTCTCCTGCTCCCATGCCTGCCTGAAAACCTTAGATGGCTAAAAAAAATGTATATATTACTTGAAGGTATAAAAAAATGATCTTACTCAGGTGTCTAAAACATTTCCCCCCAATTTTGGTCTATCGACACCTTCCCTTCTTGGTAATTAATACATTCTTTTCTTCCCGTTACTCAGGAGAGACACACCCTGGGGACCACCTTTGACCCTCTTCCCTTTAGACTCTGCCCTGGAAGAGGGACCTGCAGCCTTGCCTTCAGGCAGCGTCCTGCCTCTGCTGACTCACAACTGCGCTTCAGACCCTAAGCGGCCCCACCCCCTGGCCTGAGCGTCCTCACTGCTACTGTCCTGCCCAGTCTGTTCTCACAACAGCTAGGGTCATTTTTTTCTGTGTGTGTGTGTGTGTGCCAGTCCTGGGGCTTGAACTCAGGGCCTAGGCACTGTCCCTGAGCATTTTGCTCAAGGCTAGTGCTCTACCACAAACAGCTCCATTTCCAACTTTTTGGAAGTTCATTGGAGATAAGAGTCTCATGGGCTTTCCTGCCTGGGTTGGCTTTGAGCCACGATCCTCAGATCTCAGCCTCCTCATCTCTAAAAACCCAGGGCAGACCGGTCACTTCTCCAGCCTCATTCCATGTGACCTCTGGCCAGCTCTGCGCGGGTTGGACATCATTCTGACCTCAGACCCCGCCACCCCTCTTGGCAGCCCACACCAGCCGCATTGCCTTCACTCTGCTCCTCTAAAATGCTGAGATCACCCTGCCCAGCACCCCACAGCCCTGCTGGGAGTCTCCTTCCCTGGCTTGTCACAAGGCCTGCTGCCGATCTGGACCTGGGTCTGATCTCGTCCGGGGCCGGCCCCTGCTCCCCTGCCTCTCGTACCTGCTCAGAGCGCTTGCTCCTGCAGTTGTAACCCTTGGGCATTCCCCTCACATGGGTCAGGCTGCTATCTGTCTCATGTCGCCACCCCCACAGTGCCAGAACTGTGCCTGGCACAGAGCAGGTGGCCTAAATATATACTTGGTGAATGAATGAATGAATGAATGAATCACTACTGACTTCCGGGTGTGACATCTGAGCCAGCAGAGGCCTTCTCTTCTTCCCGCTGCCAGCCTGCCGGCTGTGTGGGCCCTGGGGGCCACCTGTCTCCCTCCCTTGGCTTACCCTGACCAGAGGGAAGGTCTGCAGGCGCTTGTAATCAGCCTCATCTTTCTTTCCCTCGGTCTCTCCCATGTTCCTTCCACTGTGGCCTTTGCAGGAGGGAGTGGGCCTTCAGGAGATGCTGGCACTGGTGGTTTGGGCGCCCTGAAGTCTCAGGAAGCAGCCCTGCCAACTTGGTGGGAGCAGAGATGCCTTTCCCCAGTGGGTGCTGGAGAAAACAGGAAAACCAGGAGAGAAGAGCTGGCTTTAAAACCACACATCACAAATTAGAAATGTCTCAGTAACAAGTTGACACCTCCCCATCTTAACTCCTCCGCATCCTTTCCAAATGGCCAGCAAGTCTGCAGACGGAGGGTGAGTCAACGAGAGAGGCTGTGAGAACACACTGTCATTGTCAAGGCGGATGCTGACTGTGGGCCAGGCCCAGGGTGGAGCTGGAGCCGGCGGTGCGCACACCAGCCTCACTTGCCAGTGACACGGGCTCCAAGCTAGACGTGCAGGAGACCACGGACACTCGGGTCCCCTCTAGAGGACTGGGAATGGCACTTGGCACCTTCTCTGTCAGGCCACCGGATCCTGGCTTCTGGCACAGGCGTCCAGGCAGCCTGGGCACAGGTGCTGGCGGGGAAGGGAGGGGAGTGACCAGCTATGCGCCTGCGGGTCCCTGAGTCATTCATTGTTAGTAATGGGCCACTCGCATTCCTCACTGAGAACTTAGTGACATGATGTACACAGGACAGGGTCACATCTCAGCAGTTCTTGGGAGAACCAATAGAGACCACACACAGGTATGACAGGAAATTACAGCAACTTAAGACACATACAAGTGCCCCCCGCAAGGTATCTAGTTATCTGTAATGGATGTTCCCCTGAAAGATGGGCCTGGATCCTACATGTTTATGCTTTACTCCACAATGCAATGGGGCCCATAGTTCCAAGGGCTTTTTATCTCAGAAGCATGACAAGGAGGAATGCAAATCATGGTCTTGATGACCCTTTTAAACAATCTACACTTGACAAGCACAAAATGTTATGTCACCATTTACGTCACCCCCAAATAAGCAATGCCATACACAGCCATGGAACTCCAAGATTCCTAGCATGTATGTACGGATATGTGTGTGTGTGTAATAAGGGACACACACACACACACACACACACACACATTCTTTGAAACAGGGTCTTGTTAAGGTTGCCCAGGCTGGCCTTGAACTCCTGGGTTCAAGGACTCCCTGAGAAGCTGGGACTATACGTTCAGTCTACTGTACTGGGCTAACAGGTAGACAGTGACGGGTAGGGGGTATATATATGCTTGTTCACAACGCGTTATTGCACCGACTCTGGAAATCGCCAGTATGAATGGAGGCAGGAGGGCCAAGATCACTGGCCTGAGGTCACTCATCTTGGGTGTGGCCGAGGCTTGGATCTGAGCCCTGGCCAGTTGTGGACACACCTAAGCCCTGCCCTTGGTGTCTCCTCAGTTCATGGCCGCAGAGCTGACCACTAGGGCAGCTGGGTTAGTCTGTGAGGATGGGAACCTCTCCTCTCCCTTCCAGCATCTGCTGCTCAGATGTGACCCAGGACCCAAGCTTTCTGTGCTTGGCAGGCCATCTCTGTTGGGGCTGTGCTGCACTCTTGATTTCATCCCCTCTCTGATGCTTTTGAAGCCCTCAATGCCACCCACCTGGCCAGCTTCCTTAAGCAAGGCCTGGCACAGACTCCACTGCTCCACGACACTGGCATGTTCTGATTTCCCAGGGGACAGATGGCTCCTCTTATCTCCTAATACTCCTCTGATCATTAGCAGTTTTGTCTCTGCTTATACGAGCTGGCAGCTTTCCGAGCACAATTGCATTGTACTTTCTGGCCAGGTTTCTCATTTCACCAAATCTGGTGAGAATTTGTCTCTGTTCATCGATGTTAAGGCCCATCTCCACTCCATACTGTGCTTCTAGTTTTAGTGATGGTCACTCTACTGCCTCCCCCTCCACTCTCATCAAGGTGTGGAGGGGTGCAGCTGTCCTGAGAATGACAGGGTCTCATGTCTGTGGCAAATCACTTAACCCAGACCTGGGTTGTCTCCGAGAAACAGGATCCGGACTTCCACTGTCCATCTTTTTTTTTTTTTGTCGGTCATAGGGTTTGAACTCTGGGCCTGAGCGCTGTCCCTCAGCTCTTCAGCTCAAGGCTGCCACTTGAGCCATAGCACCACTTCCGGCCTTTTCTGCTTATGTGGTGCTGAGGAATGGAACCTAGGGCTTTGTGCATGCAAGGCAAGCACTCTGCCACTGAGCCACCTGCCCAGACCCACTGTCAATCTTTTTTTCTTTTTGTTGGTCGTGGGGCTTGAACTCTGGGCCTGGGTACTCTACCACTTGAGCCACAGTGCCACTTCTGGTTTTCTGGTGGTTAATTAGAAATAAGAGTCTCACGGTCTCTCCTGCCCGAGCTGGCTTTGAACCGTGATGCTCAGATCTCAGCCTCCTGAGTAGCCAGGATGACAGGCGTGAGCCACGGGCACCGGCCCCACTGTCACTCTTGGCAGGCTAATGCCTGCATCACACAGACCGGTCCGCACCTGAGGAGGGCTGCAGGTGCTGAGGCCCTCCTGAGACGTCACCACACCATTCACAACCGCCATCTGACGGGCCAGCACCTGGTGGGCAGTATTCAGGCATGTTTATCAAGCACCATGACTCATGATCACAAATGACCTTTCCTAACCACCACATAGATTCTGTGTGTGCACATGCATGCATGTGTGTGTTCACACGTGCACATGTGGAGTTCTCGGAGCCTCCTACTCTTGCTTGGCTTCTTTGCTCTGGAATGGGGAACTGTCACTAGGCTCTTTCACTCAAGGATGGCACTCTACCGTGAGCCACACCTCTACTCCAGTTTTGGGGTTTTTTTGCTGGTTAGCTGGATTTCTTTTGTTTAGGCTGGCTTTGAACCTCAGATCTCAGCCTCTTGAGTAGATAGGACTACAGGCGTGAGCCACCAGCACCCTGACTAACCACACACACTTCTGCTGACCAAAATAGATGAGGCTTCCAGAAGAGAAAGTACTTACAGCCGCTGTGCTTCCAAAAACAGAAGGGAGAATTTTGTTTGTTATGACGTGGTGTTATTACAGTACAGTAATAGTCATTCGTCCACAATTAGCACACTCCACTGAAGGGACACTGCCCAAAATAGCAACACCTCGGGTTTTAATAACCTTATCCATCTCCCACATGCACAGGCCTGAGAAGCTGTGTCGGGCCAGGAACTGCTTTGAATAATGTAAGCATGCCACATCCAGGGTGTTTGAATGTGTCACTACTGAGGGTCCATGCCGGCCACTGGGCCCACAGTGGGGCGCAAAGCCAGGGCAGCCCTGCCCCTCCCGCTGCCCGCACTCTCAGGTATATAGGAGGGGTGAGAACATGCATGGACTCTGGAAAATAAGGCCCAAAGCATCTGGCGGCCCCCAGAGGAGGGGAGGCCCAGTCAGTACTGGGGTTCTCGGTCCTCTCTAACCTACATTGTTTCTAAACCTGCAGGACCCCCTGAGCGCGCCACTGCAGGCCTGTGCCGCATTCCCACGTCTCATCTGCCTCCCACATAGGCTACTCCTCTGAGCCTTCATTTCCTACATGGGATGAATAAGTTCCACCTCACAGAAATCACCTTGTTACTGGCGTGGCAGGAAGGGGCACTTCCACACCCCCTGGCCAGCCGAACCTAAGCACTACACAGAAGCATTCAGCCAAAAGCTCCCTTTCTGAGTTCCCAGGTGACAAGCTGGGGAGGAGGCCCAACTGGGCTTCGCTGTGGCTACACTGCGGATCCTGTCACCCTCATGATGGGCCTGTGATGGAAGTATCACTCCCAGCTCTCAGACTCAGTATCTGGGGCTGAGAGCTTTGGGGGGAAGGGACTGGGGGGGTACACAGCCAGGAACAGGAGAGCCAGGGCCTGAACCCAGATCTATTCTTCTGAACAGATGAATACCTTCTGTGCTTTCTCTCTTGGACTAAGGGAGAAACAAGGACTTCAGCATCAGCACCCACCAGCCCAGCCCTGGTCCCAGTCCTTCCCCTACGTCCAGCAGGTCAGAGACAGTGCGCACACTGGTCCTCGCTGCCTTCTCTGACGCGCACACCCACTGCCTTCTGGCAAACAAATAAGGAAGTTGACAAGGGGAGCGGGGCCAGGGACAGCAGGCATTCACTCAGGACATCCTCAGTGAGGTCAGGAAGGAAGGTGGAAATCTGGGTTTCCAGAGGTGTCAGGTTCCCAGACCAACTCGGGGAGGGGTAAAACCTCAGTGTCCTGCTTCACTCTCATCAAGTAAGAGCATTAGGAACCCATTGTCTACTACAAACGAGGGCATTTCAAGTAAGGGAGCAACTCAAAATAAAGGCCAGCTCTTTTCAAGAAAACACACTGCGGCCAGGTACTGATGGCTCACACCTGTAGTCCCAGCTATGCAGGAGGCTGAGATCTGAGGATCATAGCTCAAAGCCAGTCCAGGAAGTAAAGTCCCTGAGACTCTCATCTCCAATTAACTGGCAAAAAGCTGGAAATGGAGTTGTGGCTCAACAAGTAGAGCACTAGCCTTGAGCAGGGAAAAAAATAAGTGATAGCACGAGGCCCTGAGTTCAAACCCTTACACGGGCACACAAAAGAAAAAGAAAACCCACAGTGCCTCCCACACAAGGCTGTTTTGTTAGCACAACCCTCACTGCCCCCTACTGCCCTCCTGCTGAACTCCAGTGATAACTTTTTTGTGCCTTAAACCCTGGGGGAGGAGGAGAACGAGGAGCAAGGGCAGTGAGAAAGGTAGGGACAAAAAGGGCCGGTGTCACCCTAGCTACTCAGGAGGCTGAGATCTGAGGATCGCAGTTCAAAGCCAGCCTGGGCAGGAAAGGCTGTGAAACTCTCATCTCCAATAAACCACCAGAAAACCGGAAGTGGTGCTGTAGCTCAAGTGGTAGAGCACTAGCCTTGAGCTGAAGAGCTGAGGGACAGCGCCCAGGCCCAGAGTTCAAGTCTCACGACCCACAAAAAAAAGAGGGGGGTTGGTATTGACCACTCTAGATCAATAATTCTCAACAGTGCTGTCTATAGCCATGGGGCAAAATGGCACTGACTCACGAGGTACACTCCACTTTGATGACAAATATTTTTGTCAAGAGACAAGTGTAACAAGAAATCACA